CCTACTGCCTTTCCCCACTTTTCCCAGCAAAATCTTTTCTAATTCCATCTGTATTTTCATTATGCATGCATGGTAGGATAGCCTTAGTTTACTCATTTTTGCTCTAGTGAGAGTTCAGTCTTGACTGTATTGACCTTGGTTTCCTTTTTAAAAAAATAATTTTCCACTAGGTAAGGGAAGATTATAGGGAAGGGGATTTGGATCAGAGTATTGGGGCACATTTTTTTAAAAAAATGATCTTGGTTTCCAATTTAATATTTTTTAAATACAACATAAACCTACCGCCACACAAAAACTATATATAAAAAAAACATAAGATACAATTAGTTAAATAATTTAAACTAGATATAAGGTTGGGGCATGGATCTGGAACTACTTTTATTAAGAACATTATTAGAAGATCTTGAGAATATTGTACACTATGAAAGTAATATTATGATAGTACTAAAATATGTACATGAATGGTTTGAATGTTTGAAAGATGTCTGGAATTTGGGGGGACAACTGGGAAGACACTGAGGTATAAAAATCAAATAATTGTAAGCAAATCATGTAACATGATGTTTGACAAGCACAAATCAAATGTAGATAGAGTGAAAAACTAATAAAATGTGTGTGTGTTTTTTTAAAAAAAGATACAATTTCACAAGTGTCCCCATCACCTTCCAATTTAAATTTTCAGCTCCAGTAGCTTTCTAGTCTGCATTCTGTGCAGTGGGCATGGCAAAATTATTTTATTTGAGGGGTTAATGTATATGTTTATCCATTGTATGAGACACACTTAACTCACACCTTTGCTTCACCATTTACTTGAATTCCAAAAAAGCCCTTCAAAATATTTTGGCACAGAGGAACTCCAGCCACATCCCAGCTGTTCTTGCTTCTGTCCTCTCCCACCAACTACTGTACAGATCACGTGCTCATCTTCTGGGAACCTCTAGCAGTGGGTAATTGTACATGGGGGAAGTTTCTGTTGGAATTTGTATCTAGTGTATGTACACTTAAACTTCTGTTTTGAAAAAACAATACATTCAATTGTGGCTGGATAACCAACTATTCACAAAGTGGCACCACTAAAGGGAAAGTCCCAGAGGCTGATTCCTTTTTTCATCAGTTAATTATTTCTAACCCAAACACACAGCAATTGTTGGAGCTGTTTTTCAACAAGGGTGAATGGTAGTCAGCACAAGGCTGTCCTGTAGACTGTCTTGACTGCTGCCAATAATGTTGTCAACATTCAGGTTACGATGTAAAGCTTGGTGTCCTGTTTTCTGTCGGCAACATGGGCATGAAATTGTTCAGCAATATTGGGCCATTTCCTGGTATTTTGAATCTTAGACTCAGAAATGTAATACCCCGCATTGGGAAATTAGGTGGGTTTTTTTTTCAACAATTGAATCTATCTTTGCCTAGTCTCTGTGTTACTGTCTCTGTGTTTGTGTTTCTCTTCCAGGAGTTCAGAGAGCTGCTCAGTGCTCCCTTTATCTCTGTAGCTGCCACCTCTAGAGAAACACACTTTTCACTTCTTTCAAAAGATGGCTTTGCTTTTTCATTGCCGAGTCAAAGTGAATGGCTTCTGTGCTTACCTGATGGGGTAAATGTGAAATGCCAGGCACCTGCTAAGTTTTTGACACCCAGAATTTTTGTTTTGGCTGACTTCCACTGCATTCCAATGCTGATTCGTCTGAGCTTTCTTGATTTCCTGGTTTTCAGGGCAAATGTGGATCAGTTCCAAGCAATAACTGACCAACTACTTACTAGAGGCTATAGATGTTGTGTTTCTCATAACCCCGGACAGATTTGATCATCCTTGAGGGATATTAAAATGACACCATTGTCATAGCTGGAGGCTTATTATCTTCCAAAGCAGCACTGGGACAGCTTGTGGCCCTCTAGAAGGTCCCATGCTGATGATCTCATGATACATCATCATGGCTATGCTCATTAGGGTTGATG